TGCTGGACTTTCGTGGACAGCTGACTCCTAAAGTTTTTGATATTCCTCATATTCTGTGTGGTGGTCAGATAGAAATTAATCTTTTCCAATAAGTTTAAACTGATTTTTTTACCTTTTATGGGCATTTTTACCTTTATAATGCCACTTTTTCTAAAAGTGTGCATTATCTTTTGAGTCAAATTCTTACAAAAGATACTTTAAATGTGAAATTAAAACCGCCAGTAGGTGGCAGCAAGTCACTGTTAATAAGTGAGTCGTTGCGATTAAACCGAATCATTTAAACGAGTGATTCATTTAGGAACAAAACGCTGTCATGTTGCTCAAAGACACAAAACAGCGCTGTGGCTTTGTTTGGAATGATTTTTGTTAGCGAAATAGTGCAAAAACAGGCAATATGGTGTCTAAAACGTAAGTCTCTTAATAAAACTTCTAGTTTATTGAACTGTTGTAAAAAATCAATAGGCCTATCACATTTGTAATCATGGTAATTTTTGGAGAAAAAAGGCACTCTTCATGTGAAATTGATTAACTATATGAAGTGGTATAAATATACACATTTTCTGCCCCCATGTCTTGAATTTGTGATCATTCTGAATGTATTTTAATAGACTGAATCATGCCATAAAAGAGCGCACTGTTAAATGCGCACGCGCACTAAGTAATTTTTTATTTTTTTATTTTTTTTATTAATAAACATTATTCAAATACAACTAGACTTCACGTAATGCGTGCACTCTGTAGGTGTTTTGAATGTTTTTTTTTTGCGTCGTGAGAATATTGAGCAAAATAGCTCACTTGTCCTGGTGTTACATAACTATATAATGTTATGAATAAACTAAACATTTTGAATTTTTACCTCAGTTTGTTTCTTCTGAGTTTATGTGTGCTGTTACACTCATTTGTTCTGAAGACTCTCACAAAAAGACCTTGATACCAGAAATATACTATCCATTATCAATCGCTGTTTACATTGAATGTAGGCAAATAAAAGTACAATCTAAGAGCTAATAATAGTCCTTATATTAGGAAAACGTTATTTAAGACATTTTAAGACTTTTTAAGGACCCGCGGACACCCGGTAAGTTGTTTTTGCGGTGTACTTTCCTTTTGGCTGCGCTAAAAAGGCCTTTATATTTTGTTCTGTTTTATTCCTCAAGTATAACCATACTTTTCCTCTATATGTAAATGCATATTAAGCCATCATATAACTGTGTGCTTTCAGATTTGAATTCGCAAATACATGTACATAATAGCTACTTATAAATAAATAAAAGTCCAGTGGGACGAAAAAAAATTCGAATTAAAAAAAAAAGAGAAATACATTACAAATGCATTTTAAGTGTTAACCGACATTTGTTAAAGATGTTTAAAATATTCATACATATACAATACATTTAACACTACTTAGTAACAATATAGGCCTACACAATCTGAACTGAATTCAAAGAAGCGGGAAGTAAAAAGATATACTGTAAAGTATTTATTTTGATAATAGTTTTTAATCATTTATATTGTCTTTATAATGTCACTAATACTGAAAACAAATATTATGAGTTGGCTAATATTAGCCTATTATACACGAGACAGTCTCTTAAGTTGCTTCTTCAGGAGCACACCAGAGGGCGCCGTTCCCAACATTTTGCATGTAAACGCACGACAACAAAAAACTTAGCCATGCAAATTAGCCAAACCGGTCATACCTGTTATGATGAAAGACCAATACAATATAATATGAGTGATATTATATATTATAATATAATGGTATAATATGTTTTATGTTCTCAAGGCTTTAAAAGAAAGAAAGAAACGTACTTTCTGCTAATATTACAGTTAGAATGTGAGTAGTTTGCGAAGTAGACGGTGAATATTTCGTTTGTATACAAGGCTTTCTTAGTAAAATGGCTCAAGTTCACAAGTTAGACTGTGAGGATTTTGTTTGGTTGCGCTTGAGACGTAAAATGACTCTGAATGAAGAGTTCCACACACCCATAAGTTAACGCTCATTTCTACAGGTTTTCATTCAGTGGGCGGTGGGAAATCAAAACGCTGCTTCTGCACTCCTTCTGTCCCATTATCGGTATAAAACACCCAGGAGGAACGATGAAGCCGTTTCCAAAGTCTACCTAAAGAGCTATACGGATCCAACCTGAAGAATAAATGGACGAATCTGACCTCATAAACGGAATAACTACTGTTTCTACGTCTAAGAAGAAACAGTACATTTGTTTTTACAGGTGAGCAGCTTTTCCAATCCATGACTTGTGATACAGTTTTATAACTGTGTTGTGGGAATGTTGGGAGATTTAAAATCCTCATGAAACACTTTAGAACAGTTTAAAAGAGTTTAGAACCATTTGGAATTGAAAAAAGTAACAACTTCCTCTTGCCGCTATACCTGATTATTTCCTAGTCATATTGTTGTCTGTATCAACATAGAACCTGTTTGACATGCACAGATCTGTTAATCAAGCTTTTTGTTTTTTGCTTCTCAAAGTTAAAAGTTCTATGAGCTCAGAACTGTAGTTGAACTGTCAAAAGAACCAGCACTGAGTGCTCTTTGACTTACATTCATTTTCCCCACAACCTCATTTTTAGTTAGATCCCAGCTGTTTGGCTCTTTGGAGACCTTATGACATGGAAATGGAAGCGTAGATCTTCCTCTGGGAGCATGGAGATGGAGGAGTCTGTCATTTCCAGCTGTTATCTAATGCAATTCTATGTAGATTTTCCACATCTGTTACATTTCTCATTAGGTCTCCCAGTTACATGTTCTGATGCACCACCATCGCACCCTCCAATTCCCAAAACACAATAAGATGACTTAGTCCATCGCACTTCCATGTTATCACAGCTTATCAAAATGTCCACTGTTCTGCTTTCACTCTCTGTGGTGATAATGGACTGTATTGGGGTCGGGTCAAAGCAGAGGTACTGCTGTAGCCAGTATTTGGATAGCGCTTGTCAGGCCAGGGGCAGTAACTGTGGGGGCTTGTGCTAGATTTTCCAACATCCACTTAAGCAAACACGAGGAACAGATGAAAACCTTCATACTGAACCGTTGGGGGAAAGAGTGATAAAATCCTTCTACAGTATCAGTGGTGTAGTCTGAAGGCTGGAATGCAATACATTACTTTTGAAATGCCTACAATATAGGCATCATATACTTGCCTATTTTGTTGTTACAGAGAAAAACTCACACACTAAACAACTGAGGATCACTCAGTCTTTCCGAACACAAAGATTGTCCATTCATCTAAATAGGCTATATTTCAAGGTGGGTTAGTCCATCTCAAGTGGTCCAAAAATTGTAAACTTGGTTGATTTTTTTTATTTTATTTTATAGGTCAAATCATTCCAAAGTTAAACACAAGAAACTCACAGAGAAGCATGCACTTTGGAGATGCATGACAAATTAAAACAATATGTGTTCTAAAAGCGGCTCAAAATATCAAACATGTTTGATATCCTCCGATTGAGTGGAATAAAGTCTGAAGCTAAAAAAATCAGATTCTGTGCCCATTATACACTACACAGTTTTCTTTGAAATCTGCCAAGTCCAACTGCTCAAAATCTGCAGACTGGCTCTGACTTGTGACAACTAATGTCATCTAAATCAGGGCCAAAATCTGGGCAAAAGTCATGTAGTGTATTCTAGGGTTGCAAAGGGGAGGAAAAATGTCCAAAAGTTTCCAAAAATTCTGGAAAATGTTTGTAAGTTTCCAGAAATCTTCTACCTTTTTGCAACCCTAGTATATTCCAGCCTAACATTTGAGAATTTGTCATGTAACAGCATAAATTCTAAAATAAGTAAACATTGTTGGGGATTACTCTTAAACTTTCTCTCAGAGGAGTTGTGGAGTGTCTCGGACATGCCTGAACAGGACCAGTGATTGTTATTGTGGCGATGAGCTCATGGAGAATCCAAAAAACCGAAACCTGGAAGATGGCACTGTCCCATATTGCCAAATTATGAGTTCATTTCAATCATTGCCTAACCCTAAACCTTATGTCATTCCAAACCATATGACTTTCTATCATATGTGGAACACAAAAGTAGATATGTTCACGCTGCTGTGTTCATACAAAAGTATATAGCATCCAGGGATTTTTTTAACTAAAAAAAAAAAAAAAACAGATACTTAACAGTTTTAAATGTTATCATGCCTTATCGTAGGGCTTTAAAAGTACATGTGAACCAATTATTTGCACTTGATAAAATGTCAAATGCAAGTTTAGTGCACAAAAAGAACTTTATACATTCTGCGGGGATTTTTTAAACAAAAAAAAAAAAAAAAAACCTATTAAAAAGTCACATCACAAAAGATAGTCCACCTATAAATTTGATACTATTGGTTGATTTTTAATTTTCCACTTTTCCAGTTTTTGAACATTCTTGTTATTTAGACATAAAAAATAAGGTTGAGCAACTTCCATTGGACCTCTTGAAATGGATTGACTCTGGTGCTTTTTTGTAATTTTGGGTGGTTGTCCACCCTTTGCCACTGTATACTTTGGTTGTATGGAAAAGAGCAGCGTGAACATTCTTTAAAATGTCTTCTTTTGTTTTCCACAAAAGCAAGAAACTCTGTTTTTGAAACAAAATGATAGAGTTTTTACTTTTGAATGCAGTGTTTTAAGCAGCACTGTAATTAAGTGCAACATCAGCAATAGTGGTTCTTTGATGTCGTCATCATCCATTGTCTCAGGAATTCAGACTTAACTGTACTTGGATGCAATGGAGGAAGTTCCTCTCAAACTGTGAAGAGAATAGGACAGAGGGAGTGTGAGTCATGCCTGTTCTGGGAAATGAGAGAATCAGTTTAGGACTGAAATGAATCCCACGATGGATTGTGGCATGTGGACAAAGGGACTGGAGTGGGATGTGTGGAGGGGTGAATAGAGGGGTGTTTTTTTTTAGCTGTGACGAAGTGTCTTGGTTCAAAACATTGCATGGGCACCAAAGTATCCATTAAGGGAAAAATGTGTTAAATTTGTGTTTTAATAAATTTGAATCTTTTTATATGATTCTTAATTTCTTTCTTTTTGAATTGCTGGCCTTGCTTTCGCACATTTAATATTTGTTCACCTGTCTGTAGTGGTACTTATCATACGGTGTTACGAATTACATTACGTATGTTTACATATGTTTATTCAGATACTGGATTAGGATTGAAATTCATACACATAATTAAAAACAAACCCAATCCAAGGTACAATGCAGGTTCACAACAACAGTACCAGGCTGTCAAAATCAGTTCAGAACACACGTAACAAATTAAAACCGAAATCCAAGACTATAAGAGGATGGGGCAGAAAACAATGAACTAGGATAGACAAATCCACAGTACACAAATTAACTCTCAGAGCTGCATGCCATGTTGGCTGACAGGATTTCACAATGTGCTTACTTGTTTACCTAAACAGCAAATACAAACCAGGTGTAAATGACTGAATGGTTTCAGAAGCCGTCAGCAGACATGGATCTTACAACATGTTTCTTGCCGAGTTCCAGTTTGACAGTTGTCTTCTGTAAACGCAGGTATTGTTTTTTTTCCCTCCAGGTCTGTTTGTGTCCCTGCAGACCTCCTTACACTTTCCAGCTCCCCGGAAGAGTAATTTGGCATTGAGGAAGTGCACATAGCATACAAAGAAATGACTGAAGTAAGTAGCTTATTTGTTTCTACTTAATTATGTCCAAGCCTGACTTCAAATTTTCCTCAAGCATCATTGCAGTGCAAAAGTGACTTGCAAAATTGTTTAAGGCTTTCAGAAGGTCAGAAATGCTTTTGATTAACAGCCCAAAGTTACAGCAGATGTTTGGTAAGAGTCCTCATTGGCGATGCCAACTCTTACGTATGCATACAATGTAAGAAAGAAGAAAAAGCCATCGGTCTGATTGCAGTCAGTGTCTTGAAAATGTCTTTAAGCTGTTACATCCAACTCGTTCTTGACTGCAATTTAAAGGTGGTCATACACAAAATGTATTAATAAAATAGAACATTTTATTAAAACGATTCCATTAGGGTACACTGAGAAAAAAAAGCAGAGATGTGTAGTGGTTAACTAGCAAACAGCAACAAAGTAATATAGAACTGCTATTGAAAGTCAGGACACAAGCAAGTATCCTTGACTCTGCTGGAGGAAGAAGCTACCAGGGAAAGATCCCTGTCAAAAACAAAAGAAGCACACCCAATTGAACTTATTAACGCCACTCTAAAGACAACGATAGTGCCAGTCAGTGTGGTCATATCAATACATTTTTGAAAGTTAATTTTTTTCTGTGACAAGGCAATACTGTATCCCATCTCATTAAGTTGGGCCCTTTTTAACATTTGTTAAAAACAACATTTAAAGGAACAAACACAGAACACTTCCTGGAAGCAGCAATGCTATTTCCAATTTTACCTGCTCCTGCTGTATAATTTATATAATCAGACCAGAAGAGCAAATGATCAAGTTTCAAGAATACTAATTAAATAGCCTACAGTTGGGGAAACGAACTTTGACCACTTTAAGTATCTGTATATTTTTCGATTGTTTCCAAAGCCCTGTACAAGTTCCATTAAGCAAGCATCAAATTTAGTCTTGCATATTGGTTGAGATAGTTGCCTAGCTGCAATTTTAATTACTTTCCATTTAAATGAGTCTAGAGCACATTTCTTCACATTTTTCTTGCATTTAAAGTCCACTCAATCCATTTTTGACTTTCCAGCAGGGTTTCTCCGCTTCCACTCTACTAAAGCGTTATCGTCTGGCCATGACAGAGTCAAACTCAGTCTCCTCACCATCCGGGACTGCTGCTGAGGACCCATCAGAGGGTAAAGACATTTCAGCAGACGGGGATCCCAACTTCCCGATGTCTTCACTGGCAGAACTTCTGGACAATGATGATGGATCACAGCCAGCCCAGGATTCAGCTCGACCTGGACAACAGAATGATAACAAGCAGAACTCGCGAATAAGGTTCCCAGGGGCCTTTAAAAAGGGAGTTCCTAACCCCATGGACCTTCTTGAGTCCACCATGTCTGAGTATCCAGTGGCACCTGGGCCGAAGAAAGCACCTATGGACTCCCTGTTTGACTACGGCACATGTAGGGAGATCAACAATCAGAAAAAACGCAGGAAGAAACTTCCACGAGGGTGAGAGACATAGCTTCTCATGTGTTTTTGTTTTATGTTTGGGCCACTTTTATTGATCCAGTAGTGGAAAGGGTACAGGAAATGCAGAAAGAGGGGAATGAGACGAGGAAAATGTCAGAATCAAACTTGCATTGCCCAAACACATGCACTAACCGCTAAACCACAGCCAAAATGTTTTTTAGGTGGTAAATAACCTCTCGCCCTCTCAGATAAGTTGCACCTTCTGCTGGTAATTTTTTATATGATTTATACTCTTTAAACTTTTTAAAAGTGGCTGTTTTCCATAAAATAAATCATGTTGATTGCTGGCTCAAGTTCAGTTTAGTGTGTTGAAAAATAAAGAAGTATAATATTTTTGGTATATTTATTATATTTATAATACACCTATATATAATACTGAATATATAATATAATATAACATATAATGCCATCTTTCTTTTACACTTAAAGAAATACAAGTTGTTAAAACTGTTTATTCTTTGGATATGTGTTTCATTACCTAGGACTGCAAAAAAATCATTCAAGTGCATACAGTTACCTTCTGGAATCTTAAAACATAGATGGACACATTGTTTACTGGGTGATAGAGTGCAGACTGTGGTTTGAGGACTGCTTGTTATGAAATAATCACTTGTTGTATCAGTTGTGAAATGTTTCACAATTGCAATGTTTTGAGGTTGTTAATAGTCATAAATATTTATTTGTATAGCACCTTTCATACTGTACATAAAATGCAGCTTAAAGTTCTTTACAGGTCAGAATATAAAAAAGAATTGCTTTAATTGTGGCGAGACTGTGGTCAGATCTCCTCTGAATGCTTTACAGATAATGAAGTGTCACTTTTGCATGTATTATGCTCCATGCTGAGGACAGTCTACTCATGATTTTGCACTCTTGATCATGCACAGTGGGGCGAATGAATGTCTGTTGTCGTTTCCATGAATGCTTTTGGGGTAATGTTTATGTTGAGGTCTGTTAGGCAGTCAGTTTTTCCTCAGTACATAGACTTATTTGTGGAAGCTTTTTCATAGTCCACTCCATTAGGACTTGTCCAGGTTGGGTGGTTCCATTACACCTCAACCGCTACACCTCAACGTTTTCGTGAATGCCCTGTACAATTTTATATTTGTTAAATGTTCAAAGGTGCAACAAGTAATGTTTCTTTAAAAAAAGTTGAATAGTGCTTTTTTGGGTGTAAATGATTATACTCATATGAGATGAAGACTCTTGTAAGTTAAGATAAGCCAATCCCCTCATTAAAGAAGCAGATTTACATCACAACCAGCCGTGTCTTGCAATTCAGTCGATGTCAGTTTGGGACAGTGAAACATAAAGATACTTGGTGCAATTTTAAATGGAGTCGTAATCTTTAAAGTTCCTCTAAAAGTGTATGTTTCCCTCTGCAGGAAGGCTGAGATTGAGATGTCATGTGACGAGGGATCCCTGGAGCCCCCTGTTCTTAAAGTCTTCAACCGCTGGCTGTTGTTTGAAGCCGTATCTCGAGCAGATAGAAGAGCTCTGGATGGTCTCCTGCAGTATCTTCAGTCAAATGAAAAGAGGCTGACAGATGAGGAGTTCAAAGGTGCATTCTGGGAATGGTTTGGTCTCTGAGCAAACAGCACTGAGTGTAAATAGAAAATGATTGAACTACGATGTTCTTGACCGTTTTACTAGAGTAAAGACTATTATTAGGACATTTTGCTTTCCTTAATAATGATACCACTTTTTTATTAAAAAGACAAAGCCCTCCTATATTACACATGAGAAATCAACAGGGTTGTGTCCCTAAATATCCGAAGTTATCGCAACCCTAGGCTTTTGTTATTGTGCCTTTTTCGTTTAGCAAAGGAAATTCTATTATATCAGTTGATGTGATCCTGCAAGGTGGGGTCATATTTCTGCTTCCTGCCTCAAAGGGTCAAGCAAACTTTTAACGGAGAGCAGTAAGAAATCACAGCAAACTGTCACAAATGGAATGAAGGATTCTATTTGAGGAGATCAAACAGATAACCCTGGCTAAATATAAATAATGAAAAAAAAATCTCACTTGATTGAATCGGGATTTAGAGGAAAATTTGATACCTTTATGAAAGAAAGGCAGCAAGCTTTGCCATTACTTTCATACTTCAGATTAATTATTAAACTTTGATGTGTACATTTTTCTCTCTTGCTTTTCTTAGTAATCAGACCCAAAATTTGCACTTGCTGGATGTTAAAAAAAGCCAAACAAAACCCCATAGAAGTAAGAAGACACATTATCCCTCTCTCCAGCATCTCCACTTCTAAGCTTCTCACAGAAAATGGAGGAACTGGTGTATGCTGGGACCAAACTCTCCCACTCTTTCGCTGCAATCCCCAAGATATCAACTAAAAAACGGCGATGTTTACAGAACAAGCGGGAACCCAGTGTGCCTGTAGCTTTCTCTATTTCTGTTTTATCACATGACCTACCATCTAATCTACAATCTAATACCATCTAAGACTACCATCTAATCTGCGGCCTATTATGCATCAAACTAAGATTGCTGTAAAGTAATGCCATCAAGTTAGCATTTTTAAACATTCGCTCACTAAAAAAAAAAAAAAAATCTGATCAATGACTTAATAACCACAAACAACCTGGATTTTATGTTTCTAAACGAAACATGACTAGAAGACAGCTGCAGTGCAACAATCCTCAATGAAACAGCCCCTCCTAACTTTACTTTCATGAGTGTTTGCAGGACTGTTAGGAGAGGTGGAGGTGTAGCTGCTCTATTTAAAGATGTCTATCAATGCAAGCAAGTGTCATTTGGTCAGTACTTGTCTTTTGAATATCTAGGGATTGTGTTGGAAGGTGCTCCACGCATTCTGTTTATCATTATTTACAGGCCTCCAAAATACTCTCCAGCCTTTGTTGAAGAGTTCACAGAACGGTTATCAATTGTTTCTGTTTCTGACTGTTTTGCTATTGTTTTTTTTTTTGCGATAGTTCTCAAGGTGAATGCATACCTTGACTCTAGGGGTCAAACAACTAAAAGTCAAGTCAAGAATCTTGGTGTGATTCTGGAGACAGACCTTAGTTTCAGTAGTCATGTCAAAGCAGTAACTAAATCAGCACACCATATCACACCAGTCCTCAGGTCCTTACACTGGCTTCCAGTTATATTTAGGATTGATTTTAAAGTACTTTTACTCGCTTATAAATCGCTCAATGGCCTAGGACCTAAATACATTGCAGATATGCTCACTGAATATATAAACCTAACAGACCACTCAGATCATTAAGATCGAGTACGTTAGAAATACCAAGGGTTCACACAAAACAAGGGGCTTTTAGCTATTATGCCCCCCGCAGTTGGAACCAGCTTCCAGAAGAGATCAGATGTGCTAAAACATTAGTCACATTTAAATCCAGACTCAAAACTCATCTGTTTAGCTGTGCATTTATTGAATGAGCACTGTGCGACGTCCGAACTGATTGCACTGTTATTTTATGTATAATCATTTTCTATTTTTAACCGTTTTAAATTCATTTTAAATCAATTTTTAAATCATTTTCAAAGTTTTGAAATTCCTTGTTTTATTGTTGTGATTATTTGTTTTATGATTATTTTACTTTCTTTTATGTAAAGCACTTTGAATTACCATTGTGTCTGAAATGTGCTATATAAATAAACTTGCCTTGCCTTGCCTTACATTGAAAGACGGACACAAGCCATATCTAGGAGCCAAAATATCATACCGACTTGGGACAGACACAGATTTTCTTAATAAAATGTAAAACTTTAGTTGATAACAGATGTTCTTTCCTGTACTTTCTCTAGAACCTTCTACAGGGAAGACTTGCCTACCAAAAGCACTTCTGAACCTGCACAGTGGTCACAACGACACCATCCCTGTGTTGATGGACATTGCCGAACAGACCGGAAACCTCAGAGAGTTCATTAACACGCCCTTCAGAGATGTGTACTATAGGGGTGAGTCCTCCAACCACTCAAGACTGACCAGATTCAACACAAAAATTTCAGACGTCAGAACCAGTTTTCAAGCATCATTTGTCTAAAATGTTTCCAAAGTCTGTGGCGTGAGCTAACATTTACTCTGAGCAGTTTCATGAAATATGAGCAGGAAGGTGGAGTTTCATGTGTGCTTCTGACTGAGCTCAATGTTAGAGAAGTTACCCCAGAGTTAGCGTTGGGTTTCCTGGAGTCCCCACCCTGTTCAGTACAAAGAGTCCTCACAAGCACTGCTGAATTTAATGCTGTTCCTCTGTGGCCTGTTTAGGGTATTTTAATTTGCCAGTGCCACACCCGATGCACTTCATAACTTTCCTTTCCCTCTGATACACAGTTTTCAGTGCTGAAGCCTAGCAGCTAAAACACACTTCAAGTCCGGCTCATGTTATCTCTTCTTTTTCCTTTTCTTCCATGTCAATTAAAGTGGTAAATGGCCAAAATATTAAAAATAATCAAATATATTAAGGTATTTATATACAGTACACTGCTTTTCAAAAGTTTGTGGTTTTAAAGAAATTGATTCTTTTATTCAGTAAGTGCACATGACAGTAAAGTCTTTTACATTGCTACAAAAGATTTTTATTAGTGCTGTCAAACGATTAATCGCGATTAATCGCATGCAAAATAAAAGTTTTTGTTTGCATAGTATATGTGTGTGTTCTGTGTATATTTATTATGTATATAAAATACACACACACACACATACAGTATATATTTTGAAAATATTGACATGTCTATATTTATAAATACGAAGTCATAGAGTGAAACTCATAGATTGAATGAATGAATAAATAAATAAATAAATAAAGCAAGCCTGTTGTAGGACCATTTAGATTTTTAAGAAATAATTTAGAAATAATTTAAAATAAGCACATCCCATAATGAAAATGTTGTTTTATATAATGTTTATATTAGTGCTGTCAAACGATTAATCGCGATTAATCGCATGCAAAATAAAAGTTTTTGTTTGCATAGTATATGTGTCTGTACTGTGTATATATTTATCATGCATGTATATATTTAAAGCGGTCATATGATGCTGCTAAAAAGCTTTATGCACCAAGAGCTTGTAACACTCCAAAGAGAAAGGAAAAATTGAAATCGCATCATATGACCCCTTTAAGACAAATGTTACGTTTATTTATTAAATATATTGATATATTATATAAGACGTTTATTTTGGATGCGATTAATCGCGATTAATTGTTTGACAGCACTAATTTTTATCTTTCAAATAAATGCTGTTTCCTTGAACTTTCTAACCACCAAAAAAATTAAAATAATATTTTTTTTTTTTGCGTTTTTAGTATCAATATTGAAAACTGCTTAATTTAAAAAAATGTTTCTTGAGGACCAAAATGATTTCTGAAGGATCATTTTACACTGAAGACTGGAGTAATGGCTGCTGAAAATTTAGCTTTGCCATCACAGACATAAATTACATTTGAAAATATATTAAAATAGAAAACAGTTATTTTAAATTGTAATAATATTTCACAATATTACTGTTTTTACTGTAGTTTTGATCAAATAAATGTGGCCTTGGTGAGCATAAGAGACTTCTTTCAGAAATGTTTGGAAATCTTACCAATTCCAAACTTTTGCATGGCAGCATATTATTAATATATTATATTAATTTCATTTTTATTTATATGTTCTGGCAGTAGACTCATATTTAAACCTAATTTTTATTTTCATGCTGTTGTAGCCTAATCTTTGACTTGTTGTACATGCCAGGTTTGTAATAGCAGCATTATTAATACCGGGAAGTTATATTTCTCCAAATACATAATAATGTACTTGCGGCAGACGTTGTGTAGTCTGCCTCTCATTTCCTCAGGAAACAATCACTCACACATTAGTTCAGTTTGTTTACAAGTGTTGGCTCCAGGCCTCCAGGCAGTAAAGTATATATGTCAGATAGGCTAAGTCTGCAGATTTCCTCATGTAGACCCACTGCCAAAAAGCATACAAATACACCGAACTACTAAAAGCAAGTCATTAAAGATGATTCCTTTCTTCTTAGTTCAGCCAAGTATATGATAAAAGGCTTCCTTAAACTTAGACTTTAAGTTTAGGCATCCTTTATTATTCTGTTAAATCTGTGGACAATAGAAAGAAATAAAGTTTCCATCAGTAATATAAGAGTTTTAGTCACAGTCACTAGGACAAATGTTACTACCGTGCACTGGTGATGCATTCGTTGTTGTTCATGCACACATTAAGATATGAAACCTAATTGTTTTGTAAATATGGACACAGGGTAGCGGTCTATTCAAACTGCTGACACATGGGCCACTGCTAAACATGGATGTTAATAGCTAAAGCAAATCAGAAGCTGAACAACAAAACAGGCAATCCGAATATTCTTAGTGTTTTCGTTAATCTAAAATAAATCTAAGAACAAAAGTAGCAGACGACATTAACAGAGAGAGAAGAACAAAATGTGTTTATGTCCTATAGAGCTCTCACACAAACACTCGTTACAAAACTACAGGCTCTAGACACAATATGAGCCGGATTGCCTAATTTTCATACTGCAATACTTCCTCTTGTGTAAGATAAGTTGATAGCATCTAATAATATCATGCCGGTTCCCGCTGCTCTGTCTGATAAGATGTATCCTAGATATCAGTTTTCCTGTAACGTTACAGAGCGCTTTGGTTTGGATGTTAAGGTCAGTTCTTTATCATGTGATGAACTGCTTCTAACTGATTCTTTACTGGCATCTTCATTTATAATATAAATGTGGTGTGTCCGTAGGTCAGACAGCAATGCATATCGCCATAGAACGACGATGCAAACAGTACGTGGAGCTTCTGGTGGAGAAGGGGGCTGATGTTCATGCTCAGGCCAGGGGCCGATTCTTTCAGCCCAGAGAGGAGGGTGGATACTTCTACTTTGGTGAGTTTGGTGATGCTAGTTTTGTAAAGGTTTAAACCATCTTTATTGTGAGTGATAAGGAATCCAACCAGTTATTAATGTTTAATGTATTGAGAATATGAGTGGATTTTCAGTGTATTGTGTAGGATATGAATCTGCTACAGTTGCAGTCGTAAATCTTCATTCATATATTGAATGCTTTAATGCTTTTAACCTCATTACAACATGCTGGAGCCTTTAACTCCCAAAGTTAGCTCCATTTCCTGTTTTATCAGTCACTTTAGGGTCAGTAAGATTTAAAAATTTTTTAAGAAAGGAATAATATACTTTTATTTAGCAAGCATTAAATTGCTGAAAAGTGACGGTGTAAATACATGCATAATGTAAAAAGAATTTTTCCCCCTATTTTTTTTACTTTATCAAAAGTTCTTTTAGAAAAAGTATCACCGTTCCCACAAAAATATTAAACAGTACTACCGTTTTTAACAGTGATAATAGAAAATATTTCTTGAGAATCAAATCAGCATATTATCATGATTTCTGAAGGATCATGTGACACTAATGTCTGCTAAAAACTCAGCTTTGCCATTACAGAAATAAATGATATTTTAAAATATATTGAAACGAAAACATTATTTTAAATTGTAATAATGTTGTAACAATATAATTTATAATAATTTTGCTTTTGATCAGTCAGCATCTGCAGTCTAGTCTTTATTACTTTGCCAATGAATAACCAATACATTTTGGCCCAGTGTTTACCGTAGTAACATCAGGTGATTTTCTTTCCTTTTTCCTAAAACCCTCTCTTTAGTTGGCAAATGTGAGGAGCATTAAACAGTTTACATTCATTAAATGTTTAGCTGTGAGTAAAAAGGTTTCTGTAGCTTAGAGGAAAACCAACAAGACATTATGTCACAAATAAAACAAGTGTTGGTTAGAAGAGAGTGAATGGAGCCTCTGTGTTTGCAACGGAAAATACAGTAAAAGGGTCTTATATTTGGAGGCCTGATGGTCTGAAGTACAGCATACTAGAAAAGTTTCCTCTCATCTGCCTAAACACATTCTGCCCCCTGTTGACAAGAGTGTGTTACTACAGCTGTGAAAATGGCCTTTCTTAAAGGGATAGTCCACCTAAAAATTGCTCACCCTCATTGTTGCAAACCCATATGCATTTCTTTCTTCTGTGGAACACAAAAACAGATATTCTGAAGACTGTTAGAAACTAAACTGTTTTGTTTTCCTATTGACTTGTGTTGTATTGACAAAAAAATAGAATGGAAGTCAATGGGTTTGGGTGAGTAAATAATGACATGGTTTTCTTTTTTGGGTGGACTATCCCTTTTATACATGCTTCTACACGCTATTGTGCATGATTCATTAGTGCAAGTTATCCCAAAGAAAAGTCTGTTTGTTTTTGTAATTTTTCATCAAAAGGTAAGCTCTGCTTTACTTCTGAAGTGTCATTTTTGGATGATATGTGTAAGTCCTGCCCCTACTTTTTTTTTTTTTTGTCATGTCAAATATTCTAATTAGTTTATCCCCACAGGACGTTAGCGGTTACAAAGCCGTGATTTTAAAATCAAGCTGAGAATTTGAATTCCCTATTCATGAGCCTCATTTACATCTCACAAATTTTAAACCCCAAAACAAGACGTCTGCTTTGGAACTGACTGAAAGATGCAAAACTATTTTAAAATAATCCAAGGATGACAGAATAGAATTATCTTTTCTGGTGCCCTGCCAGGAGTCTCCATCTCTCTTTTATTCACCTGTAAATTAGTTTCATTTGTATTAGACACGGCTGTCAGTGTTTAATCCCTCCTGATCTGAGCACGAAGGGAGTCATTCGCCGCGGAGCTTCCCGGTGACGTGAGCGTGAACCTGTGAGCACTGACAGCTAATGTGATTTAGCAGTCACGCTAACCGCTCTCTGAGCGCGTGCAAATCAATGAGAGCGAAGCGTTTCTATAAGAAGTGACATGAAAATAATCTGTCACCCCTGGCAACAGCTCACTCTCAAGGCTCTCTGTTTGGTTTTCCTGTTTGAGATGGTTCTCGTGAGACGAGCACTAATTGAGTACTGGATACAAATAGTGACATTTAGATCAAAGCGCATTTGTCATGAGAGCCCTGCAAAGGACTGATTGACTTTTAGTTGCTAATTGTATTTCTTCATCGTGGTGTTTAGTAAAGGAAAATGATAGATAAAAGGGACATCTGGAGGTTGGAGTCTAATGGCTGGGCAGAAATCCTACAGAAGATGGCAGGTGGTTGCAGTTTTTGTGTTTTGGATGCTGGTTCTCATCAGGCTTTTTAACTAGCTTAACCAGCAAGACTACCTTTTGCAACCAGATTTATTGGACTATGATGCTCAATCAACAGCTGAACCAGCTCCAAACCAGCATAAACCATAATGATGGTCTAGATTATTATTTTTTTAACTAAGAAGTCACATGTTCACCAAGGCTGCATTTTTTTATATCAGAAATACAGTAAACACAGTAATATTATTAAAATTTAAAATAGCTGTTTTCTATCTTAATATATTTAAATTTCTTCCTGTGCTGGCAATGCTGACTTTTTAAAAGCCATTACTCCAGTCTTCAGTGTCACATGATCCTTCAGAAATCATTCTAATATGCTGATTTGATGTTCAAGAAACATTTCTTATTAGTATCAGTGTTGAATATTTCTGTGGAACCACGATGCATTGTTTTTTCAGGATTATTTGATGAATAAAAAGTTTAAAAGAACAGCATTTATTTGAAATGGAAATCTTTTGTAACATTCTAAATCCGTTTCCTGTCACTTTTGATTGCATCCTTGCTGAATTTAAGAAAATATTTTTTTAACCCCAAACTTTTAAACGGTAGTGTATGTAAAAAAAAGGTGTCTTTGTTACACATGTTACATGTACTTACTATTATAATAACAATAAATTATGCATAATTACATGCAAGTAACCTTAAGCCAAACCCTAACCATATAGTAACTACATGTAGTTAATTCATATTACTCAGTACTTAAATGTATAACTACACTGTAACAAGGACACCTTAAAACAAAGTGTAACCAAATGTTTGAATGATTTATTATTTTTATTTTTTTTACAATTTAAAAAAATTGACAACTGAAATCGATAGTCTCTTTCTCATTGCACAGGTGAGCTGCCTCTCTCACTCGCAGCTTCTACCAACCAACCAGACATGGTGCATTACCTGACCGAGAACAGCCACAAGGCGGCAGATCTGCGGAGGCAGGACTCGAGGGGAAACACAGTCCTGCACGCCCTGGTCCATATCGCTGACAACACTCGGGACAACACGCGTTTCGTCACTAAGATGTATGACTTGCTGCTCATTAAAAGTGCCAAACTCTACCCAGACTGCAACTTGGAGAATATACTCAACAATGATGGCATGTCCCCTCTCATGATGGCCGCCAAGCTGGGCAAAATTGGGGTAGGAGATTGCCTTATGTCTGCTTTAGAAACATGCATTGGGAAAGTGTGATAGGAAATGGCGAAGCAAACTAAAATGAATGAAATGTTTGTTTGTTTTCTCCACAGGTGTTCCAGCACATCATCCGGAGAGAGATAAAAGATGAGGAGGCTCGACATCTTTCCCGGAAATTTAAGGACTGGGCTTATGGACCCGTATACTCCAACCTGTATGATCTGTCTTCACTGGATACCTGCGGAGAGGAAGTCTCTGTTCTGGAGATACTCGTCTACAACAGCAGGATTGAGGTGAACTTGTGGATATACAAAAGAAAGTGAGGGAGATAGACTGTGTACTGCATGGCACTCTATATTTGTCAAATGAGATTAGAGGCCTTGCACAGCACAAGGTGAATGATTGAATGAATAAGTTGTTGTGAATGTATAGAAAAGCATTTACGGAAATGGTATAAAAATGCAGCCAAATAACAATCGCCAAGAAACTCTCTTCATTATGTTGATGGCAGTTTCAATGATTCTGACATGTTTTATCATTTGGGCCCTCAGAATCGCCATGAGATGCTGGCGGTGGAACCCATAAACGAGCTGCTGAGGGCCAAGTGGCAAAAGTTTGCCGCTGTGACCTTCTACATCAGTGTGTTTTCCTACCTTGCCACCATGGTCATCTTCACTCTTGTGGCCTACTATCGCCCATCCACGGGTACAGTGAGTACAGTCTAAATCCCTTTCAGGCAAGTCAGTTTGCTCTGCAGCAATCTTGGCCTTGCCCCATAGTTTCCAATCAGACTAGTACATCTTCCATCTGCTTGAATGGGGAGAGACTGAACTCTCTAAAACGGTTGGTGAAGATTTGGTGTTTGGCAGTATCTGTCAATTCACCAATCAAATGACAAAAACAATGGTATTAGAATTAAATTCAGCTTCTTTAGCTCAAATCAGGCTAAAACATGCTACATATTTGTCCAGCGAGTATATCGAGCTTTCTCCTATTTTTTTTCTATGATAAGTTCATGTTCTCCTGCTAAAACCCCATGAATAAATTGCATTTAAAAAATATATTAAAATATAATTTTTTCAAATTGTAATTTTATTTCACAATATTACTGTCTTATTCTATTTTTGATGGAATAAATGCGACCTTGGTGAGCAGCATAAGACACTTTAAAAAGTCTTACAGACCCCAAACATTTGAACGATAGTGTACATGTGGGTGTTCATGTTTTTTTGTTTTAAAACACAGAGTAATAGTTCCTCCTGCGTGAAAGAGAGTTCATGTGGTAGAGCTGCTTTCTGGGAATGAACAGGTCTGTAGTTGATTCCTAAATCTTATACCTCCACAGCCCCCTTACGCCTACAACTCTACAAAAGACAAGGTGCGTTTGGCAGGCGAGATCATAACCGTGGCTTCTGGAGTCTTCTTCTTCGCAACAAATGTAAGCTTTATATACACAATAACCAATCATTTTTAATACTTTTTAAATGTGTAAGATCACACTTCCATCTCCGCTTGCTGAAAGATTGTATGTTTTAGTACGCAAAATCACTCTTTCTTTCTCCTTAGCTATCACTAAAAGCCTTTAGCAGCGTTTCTTGGTTTTCTCCCCTGATTTAGATTAAGGACCTTTTCCTGAAGAAGTGCCCGGTAAGGCGATTTTCTCCCTCTTTTTAATTGAGCTGTCTAATTAATTCCAGAACCCTTTCTTGGCATGTTTTAATAGTTAATCTCCTTGCAAGATGACTGCGGTTCACCGATATGTTTATGTTAATTATAATTAATATATGGCATTGCTAAACCAGTGAGGCATTTTGCATTTGAAAAGCAAATCTTACATATTGAAATTCAGCAAATAAGAACCGAAAGACGTTCTGTAACCTTCACAAGTACAAAATACGAAAATAGCCAGAGGCCACAGCATGTTAAGTTATCAATTTTGAGCTGACAATTAGTTGCCAGTAACCTAAAGCAAATGGTAACCTTAATAGTTGAAGTATGTCGATGACGAGTACATTACCTGTTGACCAATCCCTTGTGTTTCCATAGCTTCATCTACTCCGTGTTGGTGCTGGTGAGTGCAGCGCTGTATCTGTCAGGGATTGAGGCCTACGTGTCTGTGATGGTGTTTGCTCTAGCATTAGGTTGGATGAACACCCTCTATTTTACCAGAGGCCTTAAACTCACTGGAACTTACAGCATCATGATTCAGAAGGTATGAATAGAGCAGGTTGAGGACCACGAGCAGTACATTTCATTTAACCATTCTAAATGGGGAAATCACTTTGATAGTGATATTTGTTTTCTTGACTTTTTCTTCTCTTCACCTGTCTTTATGAATGATTTTACTTACTGGCTTGTCAGTAAAACAAATCATAGTTTGTTTAGCCCTTTTCCCCAAACTTGTAGTCATATTAAAAAAAAAAAAACAACAACATTACATATACCACTGTTTTTAATGTTTTTGAAAGAAGTCTCTTATGCTCACCAAGGCTGCATGTATTTGATCAAAATTACCTGTAAAATTGCAGTAATATAGTTTTTTATTACAAAACCGTTTTCTATTTTAATATATTTGTAAATGTCTTTTATTCCTGTGATGCAAAGCTGAATTTTCAACATCATTACTCCAGTCTTCAGTGTCACATGATCCTTCAGAAATGATTCTAATATGCTGAGTAACATTTCTTATTATTAATGTTGAAAACAGTTGTTCTACTTAATATTTTAATGAAAGCAGTCATACGTTTTTTTTAGGATTCTTTGATGAATAGAAAGTTCAAAAGAACAGATACATACATACACACACACACACACACACACTCCATATACTGTATATAATGTGTGAATATTCATATATAAGTGTATTTTAATATTTAGTAAGGTCCACTTAAAATGGGACCATGCGTGGTTTTCTTTTTTCTGGTGTAAAAGGTAGAGATGGTGTAATTATTGATGAAACATTTGCATATGTTTGTATATAGTTAATGCTATATTATCCCCCAACACCCCAACAATATTTTATTCAAGATGTAAATCCTGTTCTCTTGATTGTTAAACAGCATGTCTTCACAGTTAAGTGTATATAACAAGCTGCTGTTTCCAGTAATGACTACAATCCTAACAGTGTACACTGCTGCTAGAAACTACATAAAACCCTTAAAATAATTAGCATCCTTGCCACTCTGCTTTCTTCTTATATTATCAATGTAATTAACAGACCATTCCGTTTACCTATTGTGTCTTTAATTTGGATATTTTGTTCAGATCCTCATTAAAGATTTGTTCCGGTTCCTGCTGGTCTACGTGCTCTTCATGATCGGCTATGCATCAGGTATTCTAGTAATAATAGTTCAGTTATTGGTATTATATGGAAACATTTGCCGGAATGAATGTCTTTGACTATTTTGTTTTGTATTCTGCACCAGCGTTAGTGTCACTGCTGAAAATCTGCCCTGAAAAGAATATATGTAATGGTACCTGCCCCAAATACCCAGAATGCCGAGATACAAACACCTTCAGCGAATTCCTGTTGGACCTGTTTAAGCTGACCATAGGCATTGGAGAGCTGGACGACATGTTAAAAGGCGCACAGTATCCCGTCGTCTTCCTCATTCTCCTTGTCACCTACATTATTCTCACCTTCGTCCTGTTACTCAACATGTTAATTGCTTTGATGGGGGAGACAGTGGGACAGGTGTCCAAAGAGAGCAAGCAGATCTGGAAACTACAGGTGAGGGGTATACAAAAGGTCAAATGTTGGCAGTCTGTTATATAGATAGTCTAAAGGTTAAGGTCATCTGACCAAAAATTTTAACTTTTTCTCATCATTTACTCTTCTTCATGTAATTTCAACCCCATATATTTTAATTGCTTCTGTGAAGCACGAGATGTAACGCAGAATGTCAGAGGTTTTATTTTCCATGTAGCGACAGTAAATGGCAATTCATACGGACATAGAAGTATCATAAAAGCTCCATGTATCATTTTTGGCAGTATGAATTATCGTCAGTGTTGGGGAGTAACTAGTTACATAATGGAATTACGTAAATTATTTACCAAATAAGTATAACTAATCTGTTACAAAAAAAATGTATTTTAAGGTGTCCTTGTTACACGTTACATGTACTTACTAATATAATAACAATTAATTATGCATAATTACATGCAAGTAACCCTAAGACGAACCCTAACCATTTAGTAAGTATGTAGTTAAAGCTGCAGTCTGTAACTTTTTTTGTGTTCAAAATGTACAACATTTTTATAATAAGCGAGTACACCATGAATCCATTTTCCAAACCGTGTTTTTGGCTTGTCCTGAATCACTACGGTACACCTATGATAAGTGTTAATATTTGGACTATTTTAGGCTGGTTCGGGTAGGCACCGCTGCGGAGTAGCCCAGCACCTGCGTGATTCGCCATAGACATAAACAGAGAGAAGTAGCTCCGGCTACAATGTTCTTCCGCAAGATGCACGCAGTTCTGTTTATTAACCGCTAGAGCGCCAAAAGTTACGGACTGCAGATTTAATTAATATTACTCAGTACTTAAATGTATAGTTACACTGTAACAAGGACTCCTTAAAATAAAGTGTAACCAAATGTGAAATTAAATTACAGTTGCTTATGAAAATGTTAACGCTTACAAAGGAGGTTACACCTGAATTTTTTCACACACATACAGATTTGATTGGTTTCTTTGCTGAATTTCATTGACTGCTCTAAAATTTAAGACACAAATGTTTCAGGAGTTTAGGACACAGAATAGGACTTGCATAATCGAGTTTTATTTCCTATTTGGATTTATGTACATGCTTTATTTTGAAAGATTAACTGTTTTTTTCCGAAGCATCGTTAGTTTCCAGTGTTTCCTGTCATAGCTATACAAAGATTTGATTTGAAAAACAGTATCATAGCTATTAAACTAAATCTTGTTATGATTTTAAATCTGTATTTAAGCTCAGAACAATCTCAAAGTAAAAAGAGGTGCTAAAGTCTGATTTTGTGGTGGCTGTGCTTTCAAATTCAATTTTTATAATCTTAATTCAAGTGATGAAGGATTTTGAAAGTCTGACAGTAATCAGTGTTGAGTACTACTGTAAGGTTAACCCTGCCTGCTTTAAATGTTTCAAACTGATTAACAGTTGAAAACATTTGCTAGAAATTTAGAAAAGTAATGAAATGTAATCAGCTACATTACTTTAATAATGTAATTGAAATAGTCACACTACTTATTACATTTTAAATAGGGTAACTTGTAATCTGTAACACATTACATTTGCAAAGTAATTTTCCCAAGACTTATTTTTATACATATTAGTTATGGAAGAATCTCCTTTTGTGTTTTCTTGAAAAAAAAAAGAGAGAGAGAAAAAAAGAAAAAACTGTGCTGGAATGTCGTGAGTGTGAGAAAGTGAATGATGAACGATTCCTTTGTGTGTTTGTTTCAGTGGTTTATTTTGGTGCACATCTGACAGCAATCACTTTTGTTAACTTCTGTCTAAAGCTTTTACCTCAGTATTCACTGGTTATAAATGGCTTTCCTCTCTAACATGTCATTTTCCTTTTGTTTGCATCAGTGGGCAACTACTATCCTGGACATCGAGCGGTCCTTCCCCGTGTGTCTGCGGAAGTCTTTCCGTGCTGGAGAGATGGTTACTGTGGGCAAGGGCTTGGATGGAATGCCAGACAAACGCTGGTGCTTCAGGTAGAACTACAAGATATCCACTTCTCATTTATTAAATTACAGCCTAACCCTTCAAATCATTTACAACAGTTCTGGGCTTTCGTTCTCTACGCTATAGAGTGGACGAGGTCAAGTGGTCCCACTGGAATCAAAATCTGGGGATCATAAATGAGGATCCAGGCCAGAAGGACCATTACGAGCAGACACAGGGCGGACGAGGCCTTCGAAGAGGTTGGTAAATGAGCAGGCCGCTGTGCTGCATAGATAAACCCCTAAACAAATCTTTTTTAGAATAAAAAAAATTTGGTGCAGTAACAATTCTCACTCAGAAATTGCTAGGAAAGTTCACAATTAATTCTGAAGAAATGGCAGGTCATTGATTAGATTAAACACGAAGTTTTGAAGAAGTAAGACTAAAATAGTATTTTCTTGTGAAACGTTCTCGAATAGTCTTGGAAACTATTTGCACAGTACTAGGACAAAATACATACACATTAGGGATGGTAAGATTTGCATCGGCATAAAAGTTAACGATGCGATGCATGGATTTAATAAAATGTCCATCGGGTACAAGTTGGCATTTGTATCGCAATGCACCGTTTCTAACATATTCGCATAGGTAAAAACCAATTTATTTATATATAATTATCAGTAGCTGCACTACTAGTAGATGCATTGGCTATGCATTATAGCATGAGCCCCAGTTATGGAGATGCACATCCCTAATACACAGAAATGTATGTTTGAAAAATCAACTAACAAATATAATTTCTCGCCTCTACTCCAACAGATCGCTGGTCCACTGTCGTCCCAAGAGTGGTTGAGCTGAACAGGGGCTCCAGAGACCATATCGTAGAGTTGGAGCCTCTCACAAGCAGACACAGACACAAGTCTGAAAGCTAAAGCTGAACGCTAAAGACTTAACAGAGGGTCAAGCCCTTGAAACTTTTATTACTGGGCAGATAGTTATGTATTTTATAAAAGCTGACAATAGTTGTAGTGTTTTTCATCACTATTGGGAGAACAGCTTCATATATTATGACTTTTAAAAGTATCTTGATTGTGTTTTACATGTATATTTGGACCCATGAGACACTCAGGAACATATTTGATGTGTAATATTGTAGTGTTTTTTTATGGAGTGCAATAGATTTTATAAATAGATTTTTTTGATCAAAAAACAACACTCCACAAGGACTTGGATTTGAGTATCAGCGTATATTTTAATCAATAATCATGTCAGATTACCTCAGTGTTAAATGTGCCTTGTGATAAAGTACAGTGGTTTTTTTTTTATGAAAAATCATATTGTTATTCTTTTGTTATATTGCCAACCCATAATGGAAAGACAAAAAATGCTGCTCTGATTTGACCTTTGGCTTTGTTTTGTAATAAAGGTCATGTAGAAAACAGATGTGGCACCCACACCAGAAGTATGCACAACGCCAGACAGCAGCAGTTTGCTATTTTCACCTCAGTATGCTAGCAATAGTGTGACACTGAACTTAATTGGTGTGATGGTGGTAATGATTTAAAGCGACACGTTCAGTTTAGAGGTTTCTTATTTCACTGATTAACCCATGCCAAAGGACACAATGGCACATATTGTAGGGGAACTATTTTATGCATTTTTAATATATTTTTTAACAGAGTACAAAAGGCATTGTCTGTATGCTGTAGTACATGATTTTTTTCCCAATGTCTTTTTTTGAAGTCCATGAAGTGTGATTTAGAGCAGTGGTTCCCAACCCTGGTCCTGGAGGCACCCCAACTCTGCACGTTTTGCATGTCTCCTTAATCAAACACACCTGATTCAGGTCATCAGCTCATTAGTAGAGACTTCAAGACCTGAAATTGGTGCGGCAGAGAAAGGAGACATGCAAAATGTGCAGTGTTGGGGTGCCTCCAGGACCAGGGTTGGGAACCACTGATTTAGAGGACTGGAACAGGGAACTGTGTTTTTGTTTACAGGCCTGATTTCCACACTCCTTTATATTTTATTAGACACTAAGTATAGTTTAGGTATCAAAGGAATGTACAGAAATAGATGGTAATATATTCTTGGTAGCAGATATTATCCTGCCAGTATGTTAGATGTTTGATGCTGCTGTCAATAAGCATTATTTTATGTGCTGAATTGGATGACTATTCAAACAATCAGAGAGATTTGTTCCATCAACAATAAAGAGATTCTGGATCGCCCACTCTTAATCATCTTTGTCTTATTTTCAGAGTATTTTAATTTGTATGCTACTTATTGTACTCCTTTGTTTCTTAATCACTGATCTGATTGCCTCAAGCATGTAAAGGAAAGAACTGAAATTGATTACTTTTCTAAAGGAATCTTCAGCAGTCCTATTTTAACTTGCCATTAGAAAGAAAAAATGGTTTCAGCAATTCTTTCACATCTTGGCGTAATGGCTATAAAACGTTCCAATAAAACTCATAAAATATATTGCTTTGTTTTAATAACTATGATTGTAATTTCATGGGTCTCATTTCAGCTAATAAAAAAGTGATTTAAAATCTAGTCCTAAATATAATTTGCATTTATAGTGCTAAAACTCATTTGTAACTCTTGTCTGAAAAAGTTTGTGCACTAATAAATAGCACTTTTAACACTTTTGTACGCATGTGTTTATAAAACTGCGCATATAATAAAGTCATAAACATTTCCAGTTCATGCTTTATTAATAATAATAATAAGACGTCCTCGGTTCACTCTACTCTTTTACTATCTGCTATAAGTCCAAACGAAACGGTTCTTGGTTCAGTGAGTCAAAGAACCGTTCGAACCGAGTTAATTGAAAAGATTCAAAGACTCAAAGAACGACTCGTTCACCAATTTCAGAACGTTCGATAATGAACGCATTTTTAATGATTTAAGAAAATTATCTGATTTAATAGTCAACGTCATTTTTAGAAAAAACAAATTTAGCGTTTAAATTCATACTGGTGTATTAAAAACAAAATTTTCCGTTGCAAAAGTCTTCAACTCAAAAGACTCGCTGACTGCTGCAAGGGGTTTTTTAGCGTTTGTTTTTCTCTTGACCACTAGATGGCCATAAAGTGCCGTATGTTTACTATCGCTGTCCCAACACGCATCAACTGCAGCTTTCAAAATGCAATCAATATTGTATTTTAGATTTTATTTTATATGTGTATTATGACTATTAATTGGTCATGTTTGAATAAAGCAGTAAAGAAAATGTTGCAAATATGTATGCATCCCAAAGAACTATAATGCAAGCATGCTGTCAAAAAAGACTTTTTTTTACACCGTTAGGGGAAACAGAATACAAATGACACCTTCAGACCAGCCCAGTGAAGTCACAATACAAACAACACAGAATATACAACCGCCATGCACAAATATTCACTCGAACCGAGACCATACATGAACAACCACGACTCCAAGACACCTGCTAAAGATGGGCCAGTGCACCGTCCACTAAAAAATCTAATCACTGCTGGAGTCACGATTTGCAAGAACACCTGCAACACCGCCCTCGTCTTCGCCGTCATTTTCTACCACCTTGGTGACAGGCGACATTTTGACCTTGTGTCAACCTGCAAGATGTGACTGTTTTTTGCATGCTCAGTAGCAATCTCCAGCCAGCTCTCTCCCCCTTCATCCTCCTCCTCTGCCTCCACCGCTGAAGGACATGCTGGATCTAATGCCACCTCTCCGAGGAGGCTAATCCTCTTTAGCTCCAACTTTAACTAGGCCATTAATCCCACAGGAGTTTATCTAAGCACTGAGCACCTCGCACTGCTGACACTTTAGCCTACCCACCCTCCTTCTCTCTCTCACTCTCTGTAAGTAGGGCACGGTCAGCACCCCTGTAACCGCAGCAGAACCTAAGCGGCTCAGCACCGAGTGCACACTCCTCAGAGAGAACGACAGACCACAGGTGAGAGCTACAGGAAGGAGAAAATGCGATAGAACGATGCAGGAGGAAATTAATAAGAAAAGAGATGGATGATACGAAGAAGAAAGACGAATGTTTGGCCTCAGAATCGTGAGGCAATAGCTCGGTGTTGTTTGCAAGCGCTGGACTAACATTGATTTAAGTCTGCCCTCCAGGCCCGAGCAGATGGCTTATTTGCCAGAGCACTGATACTGTGAACACGAGTGTGAGTTTGTGCTCAGAAGCCAAAGAAAATGGCCTTTTTTCATTTGTGTGGGATAATGAACACTGCAACAAAAAAAGTCTTGGATTCCAGTAAAATATATAAACATCCATCAGTTTATTGAGGTTTATGCTAATACTGTTTTTTTTATTTCAAGTGAAAAAAGGGCAAAATCTACCAGTGAAAAAAAGAAAATACACTTATATTCAAGACAAATTCTCTGACAATTTTGGAATGCATATAATGCATATATAATCAGTTTTTATGCATATTAAATTGTACATTTACTTTAATCTTGTTTTAACCATCATGTTGTGCTGACTTTCAGACACGAAACGCAAGAAAATGAGACTGTGAACATTCTTCCAGGAATGGTAACATAATGTTCATTCAAAGTGATCTGTTCTCTAATTATGTTCTGGAAACATCAGAACTGAAATGTTCTTTTCTGTAAGCTTTTAGTTGGATGTTCATCTAAATGTTACTTCCAATAATGTTTGCAGAATGATCAAGTGAACCAGTCCCTTAACATTTGCATAACCAAGGAAAAATGTTTTTTAACAAACAAAAGAAAAAAGTTCAAATAACATTCAAAGATAACATTTCATAATGTAACATGGATGTTAACAAAATATTCTTAGATCATATTTTTTCATCAACTTATTAGCAATCCCAGAGAAACCCTGTGTTCACTTGTAAAACTTTTGTGATGGAAATGATAAGAAAAAAACATGTATTTCAGTGCTTTTGCAAATGAAAAGTTTCTCGGGGGAATGTAATACTTTTATGAAAGAATACAAAACTTTTACAAGTGAACACAAAAGCACTGAAATATAATTTTCTCATATTTCTCATCTCATGTTTTTTTCCACTGCTGTACTCGCAGGCCCCAATGATCTACAGTAGGTGGAAAAAATCTATATTAATCGTAATTTCAAATTATTATTTTCCCTTCAAATTATTTTCAATAATTTCCTTGGACTAAACAGTGCTAAAAGTGCCAGCAGACAGATTATAGGAGCCTAAGAGTTTTGCCATAAGCACAACATATTAATTCAGTATCCATTCCGGGAAACCAAAAATTGCAGAATACTACAATAAAAAGAATTCAAAACAAAAAAATGGCATAAATTTGCAGCGTATATACCAGATGGAGAATGATATGATCTGTAGCTGGTTGCATAAACTGCTTAGACCGGTCTTAAAAGTTAGTCTTTTTTTTTTCTGCAAGACTGGTCATAACTTTTTAAAGTTAGTTCCTGCTCTCTCTCTTTTGCTCTTTTGTTGGTTTTGATTGCTTCTATTGTCCTTATTTGTAAGTCACTTTGGATAAAAGCGTCTGCTAAATGACTAAATGTAAATGTAATAAAAACATAAATTGGTCTAATTTAACTCCGAAAAGTAAGACTGACTACCACTTGGTTACCTGCTAGTTAGTCAAACTAGTTCTTAAGACAGTCTTAACAAGGTGACTATGTTTATGTAACTGGCCCCAGCTGAAAATTCAGTGCATTTTATCATATTTTATAGCTCCAAACCAATGTAGCACTTGGTAGCAGACTGATTAAGAAGAGAATAATTTGCAATGAATGTGTGGGTTGTGTTATAAAACACTGCACACTGGGATCTTTTTCCATCAAAATGAACCATACAGTATCAGTACAATTTAAAAGTCAAATCTAACTGCCCATGGGTGTATTATCGGATCCATGACTTATCTGAGCACTCATTTGCTCCAACATATGGGCAAATGGTTGCACTAATGGCTAACATCGGCTGGAGCCGGCCCTGCTGACCTAAAGGCGGCAGATAAATGAGGTTATGGTATTGACACTGTTTAACCCCTCTCTGTTCTTTATTGGTTCAGACATTCCTCTTCTCCCAAGTAAATTTGTCCTTACTTTGAAGAAGGAGGAAGGCATAGCTTTCGGACACAGCGGTGAGATTCATCGCCAACATGAGACATTTCTGAATGAATGAGATGTGCAATATGAGACAACAGAGGAGGGGGAGAAGTGGGAGTTTCCTTGTTTGTTCTTGCATCATCTCACTGAAAACACTGATGCTTTCAAAGTCTTAATCTGCTTAATGCAAAATAAACTTTGTATGTACTGGTTCAAAATCAATATCTATCATTTTATCATATTCTTTATTCTTTTAATTTAATTCAATTTTAAATTTATATTTTTATTAAAATTTTATTTAATTTTAATTTTAATTTTAATTTAATTTATTTTATTTCATCAACCATTTTTTACCAGAAATACTGGTTCAAAATCAATATATATCATTTTATCATATTCTTTATTCTTTATTCTTTTAATTTAATTTATTTTATTTTATTTTATCAACCATTTTTGACCAGAAATACTGGTTCAAAATCAATATCTATCATTTTATCATATTATTTATTCTTTTAATTTAATTTAATTTAATTTAATTTAATTTAATTTAATTTATTTTATTTTATTTTATTTTATTTTATTTTATTTTATTTTATTTTATTTTATTTTATTTTATTTTATTTTATTTTATTTTATTTTATTTTATTTTATTTTATTTTATTTTATTTTATTTTATTTTATTTTATTTTATTTTATTTTATTTTATTTTATTTTAATTTATCAACCATTGTTGACCAGAATTAAACAGGTTATT